GGGCTTGTAAGGCCTTTTTTCTTGACACCCTGGAAAGTTGCTTTCAGAAAAATAATTATTGGGCTTAATCTTGACACCCTGGAAAGTTGCTTTCAGAATAATAATAACTGGGCTTACAGACCAATGGTTCCCAACCTTGGGTAACTTGCAGGTGTCCTCGGACTGCCACTTCCAGAAACCCCGGCCAGCACATCTAGGGGCGAAGGAAGGCTCCTGGGAATTGCCTGCCGAGAACACTTGGGTTACACAAGGTTAGGAACCACTGGCTTAGACAGACCAGTGCCTTAATTCAGTGTAAGGCAGCTTCGTTTATTTGTATGTCATGCTGCCTTGTTGCTAAGCGTCATCTGTTGGTCTCCTCTGTTTTGCACCTTCCGTCTTCTCTTGGTGATCCTTTGCCTTATTCCCTCTCTTCTCCCCCTTCTCTCTTTCCCCGGCACCCCTGACAGAATGGCTTAGAGCCTCTCTTAGTGTTTGAGATTGACAGTAACACCAACACCATTAAAAGGAGGCCGGTGACACTCCATCAGGTGACGAGCATGCAGTGTGTGTGACTGTTTGGGCTGGAATTCCCTTTCGTGTTCCCGTGCTGTCCGATGCTGGGGACATGAGCCGATCCCTCTGCTTGGCTTGACTCTGCCTGACTTGCTTTGAAACGAAGCTGATGAGATGTTGTCTCTCTTAGGCGGGCGTGTGGAGCCTCTGGACCTCCAGTGGCAGCCAAACTATATGAGTACGAGCAAGCTTCCGTTTTCTGCTATTCCTGCTGTTTCAGTTCTTGCTCACGGTTTCCCAGTCTGGCAGGAGCTGGTGAGAACTGGAGTCTGCGCAAGGGCCCACAGGTTCCCTTGTCCCAACCTGAAGGAACCAAGAACCACATTTAATTTCTTGAGTAAGACAACAGGGACAAAATAGGAGGAAGGAAAGAAAGTATTTAAGAATATCACCTTCATTTCCATGGGAGCTTTTGTTGATATAATCCATTTCTTCTGTGCCTTTGAAAGAGCAGGATGTGTCCACGGAAGCTCACACTGAAATCAATGGGTTAGTCTTAAAGGTGCCATAATTTTTGTCATTTTTTGTCGTTGCTTGAAAAAGGAATATCACCTTCATTTCCATGGGAGCTTTCGTTGATATAATCCATTTCTTCAGTGCCTTTGAAAGAGCAGGACGTGTCCACAGAAGCTCACACTGAAAGCACTGGGTTAGTCTTAAAGGTGCCACAATTTTTGTCCTTTTTTGTCGTTGCTTGAAAAAGAATGTAGTTAAAATATTTTTACCCCACCTTTCTCTTTAAAAAGAACCCAAGGTGGCTGAAATCCTTGAAAGACAGTACAGTGGAACCTCGACTTACAAACTTAATCCGTATTGGAATGGTGTTCGTACGTCAAAACATTTGTTAAGTCAAAGCAAAATTTCCAATAGGAATGCATAGAAAACCATTTAATGCGTATCTCCTGCTTTTCGTTCTTAAGTCAAGGCGCTGTTCTTAAGTTGAAACATTAGTTCCCATAGGAACTAATGCAAAGCCAGTTAATCCGTCCTCTACCACTGGGGGAGAATTTTTCTTCTTTTGACCTAAGATGAACTTAGGTCAAAAAAGGGCAGGAAAGGAGGGAGGGGGGAGGGAACATCTTCTAAACAGAACACCTTTTAACCCAAGCACCTTTTAAACAAAACCTAGCACTTTTTAGCTTTAAAAAAGGGCAGGAGAACACCTTTTAAACAGAACACGTTTTTTCCGTTCGTAAGTTGGAGCTCCGTTTGCAAGTCGAAGCAAAATTTAGCGAATGGAGCGGTTTGTAAGTCGAAATGTTTGTAGGTAGGGATGTTCGCAAGTCGAGGTTCCACTGTATTTAAAACTGAAAACAATGAGTATAAAGAGGCAGCTTACATCGTTAGAAGACAATGCTAAAGCTAAAAACAATCAGTATGCAAATATTAAAAGGAAATATAAATGTCACTCTGAGAGATGGTAGACACAAGTACTATACAAGGACCCAGTCAGAGCAGTAATGTGTAACAATCCATCTTAAAGTCACTCGTGTAGGCAGTCACTGAGAGAAAGCTTGCCTGAAGAGAAAGGTCTTTGCCTGATTGTGGAGGAACAGCCAAGACGGGGCCAACCTGGCCTCCAGTGGGAGGGAGTTCCATAGTCTCTGGGAGCAGCCACAGAGAAGGCCCTCTCCTCTGCCCTCATCCAGGTGTACCTGTGAAGGTGGTGGAACTGAGAGTGAAACCTCTCCTGATTATTTTAACCATAATGGGAGAGATGGTATTTGCAGTAGCTTGAGCCCAGGCTACTTATGGCATTATAGGTTAATATCAGCACTTTCCATTTTGCCCAGAAACTGATTGGCCACCAGTGGAGCTGCTATAACAGGAGGGTTCTGTGATCCTTGTAACCAGCCCCAATCAGCCACCTGGCTGCTGCCTTTTGGATCCACTGAAGTTCCCTGACACTTTCCATTGGCAGATCCACATAGAGTGCATTACAGTAATCTAGCCTGGAAATAATGAGAGCATGTGTCACAGTGGCTAGATTAGATATCTCCAGAAACGGATGTAGCTGACATACTAGTTTTAATTGTACAAATGCACTCCTGGCCGCTACCAAAACCTGGGCACCCAGGTTGAGAGATGCACCCCCAAGCGGCCACTCCTGGCCGCTGCCAAAACCTGGGCATTCAGGTTCAGAGATGCACCCCCACGCTCTGCACCTGTGTTTTCAGGGGGAGCGTCACCCCATCCGGTACAGGTCGCATCCCTGTTCTTTGATCTGATTGACCAGAAACATCTCTGTCTTGTCTGGGTTAAGTTTCAGTTTATTCACCCTCAGCCGGTCCATTTCTGATACCAAACACTGAGAGCCAAAACAACTTCCTCGGATTTAGATAAGAAGCAAAGGTAGTCCAAAACTCTGGACAGTCTCTTCCAGTGTAACTCTGGACAATCTCTTCCAGTGTTTTCACGTGGATGTTAAATAACATAGGAAACAAAACAGAACCCTGAAGGGACCCCACAGGTCATCGGCCAGGGGGTCAACTAGGAATACCCCCCAGGACGACGTTCTGAGTTCTCTCCTCCAGGAAGGACTTGAGCCACCATAAAACAGTGCCCCCAGGTCCCATTCCAGAGAGACAGGCCAGGAGGATACTGTGGTCAAGTAGTTTTGAAAGCCACTGAGAGGTCCGGCAAAACCCGCAGGGACACAGATCCCTTATCCACTTCCTGATGTTGATCATCCACCAAGGTGACCAGAGCAGTTTCTCTTAGTTCTCTCCTCCAGGAAGGACTTGAGCCACCATAAAACAGTGCCCCCAGGTCCCATTCCAGAGAGACAGGCCAGGAGGATACTGTGGTCAAGTAGTTTTGAAAGCCACTGAGAGGTCCGGCAAAACCCGCAGGGACACAGATCCCTTATCCACTTCCTGATGTTGATCATCCACCAAGGTGACCAAAGCAGTTTCTCTTCCGTAAACAGGCCTGAAGCCAGATTGAAATGGATCTGAGATAACATGGTTACCTCTGAAAAATAGTTATAAACAATTATTTTAAGATGGAACAATGGCTGTTAAGATTTGGCACCTGTCACAATGTGTATGAAGCAGAGATATGTACATGTAGACTTCCTTCAGTTTCCCAAAACAAGCAGGCCTGATCTAGAGACCATTATAAAGGTTTGGGGACATAAGCTGGTCCGCCCTAGGCGGTTGTTGAGGCTTCCTTCTGGCCCCATGGACTCCCCTCTGTTTCCCTTTTTTTGGGTGGGGTACAGCACCAGCTGAATCTATGGGTGGCATCTCTCAGACTAATTCCCTGGCTGACTTGGGGGCTGGTTCAGAATTGGTTTCTCGCTGGTGACTTTGAACATGTTAGAAAGTGTGTGTGGTTGACTATTAATACATGCATGTAACCGTTCCAAAAGCTGATCGTAGGTTTGGAGCCCTGTGTGTCCTTCTCCAGCTAACTATATGAAAAGTAACAAGTAGAAGAAATTTTAATTGATGAGTCTAAAGTTAAATGGGGCCTCTTGTGGCCTGAGCACAAGATGCACGGCAGCCTCGCACACCCTTGGAGTTTTTGGCTGAGAAAAATCCCTTTGTGTCTTCCATTCAGCCCCCACGGGCTACAACAGAGGGGTACTTTGTGTAAGGGAGAAAAAAAGAGTGCTGCAAGGCCAGGAATGAGCATGTGTGGCCCCCAGACATCTGGAGATCCCTGCTCCTACCAATACTCTTCTTTCCTGCTGCATATTTGCTATACAGAGTGAATGTTGACTATCTTTGTAGGCTGGGCAGAGCATTTCCATTTATGTAGATGCATGCTGTTGAGAGGTTCACTCCCTTTGACGAATGTGATTATCTTGGACATACCTGATGGGGTCGGGAATAAAATGTCCTCCAGAAAGGGCCAAGTAAGAATCAAGAGAGACCTCTGGATTTTCGGTTTTGCATTCATTTGGTGAAGGTCTTGTGTATAATCAAAGATGCCCCGTTCTGCCTTTCCCAGATTTCATAATTTGCTTCTTGAAGGTTGGCCATAGAGTGAAAGCTGTTTTCTTTTGTGGTTTGTGTCTCAGATACATTCAGTTTTAGACACCCCCCCCAAAAAAAATTTAATTTAGAACTGGTCTCTGTTATTGTGTTTTTACATGACAGAGTTCTGTTAATTCTGTTTGAAATCTTTCTGCGTCATCCCCCACATGCACACTTTTTGAGAACATGCATGAGGAAAACATTGCCAATCAATGCTGCTGGACAGGAGCTCCCGTTATCCCCTGACCATTGGCTGCAGTGGCTAAAACTGATGGACGTTTCAGTTCAGCAACCTCTGCAGACTCTCCCATTTCTGAATCACCTCTTCCTTTACCCCTACGACATACATGACTGATGCCTGCTTTTCTTCTCCTAAAAATTACATTCTGTGTTCTTTACTGTGTTTGAATAAAACTTCTTCGTCCCGTTTCCCTCTGTTTCACCTCTTCCTTTTATTTACAGAGTGATGAGAGATCCACCATCTCACCAAATTCGCCTGCTTCTCAAACAGGTAACTGGGAGGTTGGGGGGGAGCAGAATCAGATACCGAGACCTTCAGAAGGCAGTCAGTTTTGGCATCTTGCTGAGGCCCTGCTGTAGATCTTGGCAAGATGCTACGGATCAATCTAGCAACGTAGCCATCCTGGCATTGCTACGCTTTTGCATCAAGGAGAGAGCCGGTGCGGCTGTTTTTACAACAACTGGTAATACTAGGTCACTTCGTGAATACTTTCTATGTATTTGCATGGCGATCTGGAATGTTCAGAGGGCTTGTCATGCCCTAGCTCAGTCCTTTTTACTGCACAAAAAGGGTGGACCAGGATTGGTCTCCTCAAGCAGTAAACAGGCTTGGTCAACCAGGCTCTGCTTAAAGGTTTCAGTACATAAGTGGCAGAACCAATACTTGAATCTGGGTCTTTCAGATTCATAGCTCTGTTTATTTACCACAATGTTAGACCTTCTTTCTTTCTTTCTTTCTTTCTTTCTTTCTTTCTTTCTTTCTTTCTTTCTTTCTTTCTTTCTTTCTTTCTTTCTTTCTTTCTTTTTTACAGGAGTTCCTTTCTTTCTTTCCTTTCTTTCTTTCTTACAGGAGCAGCAGAAGAATGCTGTGTAGTCACATACAATGTTTTCCAGACAAGAAAAAAGTTGTTCCCCAAATATAATAGAACTTAGATCAGTGGTTCTTAACCTTGGGTTACTCAGGTGTTTTTGAACTGCAACTCCCAGAAACCCCAGCCAGCATGGCTGGTGGTGAAGGCTTCTGGGAGTTGCAGTCCAAAAACACCTGAGTAACCCAAGGTTAAGAACCACTGACTTAGATAACTCTATAATCGGTTGACATGATGATTAAATTATGGCAGGCAAGCTCACCTAGATTGGCCAGGGCCAAGAAAGAGGTCTTATTTTCAGAGAGTTATGAGAAAAATATACCACCCAAGGCCTGCCAGGGTGAGCTCTTTTTCCAACCTTTATAACACTTGGCTGTATATTGTTGTTACAATTAAAAAAGAAAAGAAATCAGAATTTCCACCATATTATATACATTTTCTCATCTGTGCTTGCATATCTGCATTTAGTTCACCTTTCTGCTCCATATCCTGGCCCTCCGGCTGCTGCTGCTGCTGCTCCCTCTTCTTACCGGCATCCTCCTCAGCGTCCTGACAGCTTCCTTTTTCGAAATGCTGCAAGGGATGATGTGAACAAAGGTGAGTGGCGCAGCTGAGTAGGTGATGGTGCAGCTTGCGACGTCAGCGTCTCAGTTGGGGCCTGGCTGGGTTGCTTTAGGAAGGGATCTTTTGTAAATTTTTGCCTGGTTTCTCAGAAACCTCAGATAAAAGTGGACACCCTGTGTATAGGCTGAAATAGCTCAAAGACCAGATGGGGGCTTAACTTGGCGGATCCTTCCTCCATATCTATCAGTCAACCAACCAACCTTGTTCGGTTGGGAAAGGGACATGTTATTATTTATTTTATTTATATATTGCCCATCTAATCGAAGGCCACTCTGGACTGTTTGCAACATAATACAAAGCGATAAAAACATCGCTACTAATTGGAAAACAAGCGCAACATAATAGAACACAAAAAATAGTGCAAAATTTAGACATTTATGCATTTGAAATGGTTGTATAATGATTTGAAAAGAACTAAGATTGGTCCTCTATTACATATATAATGTTTTGTATGGAGGAGCGTTTGCTGATGTGGACCCCAGCCTTCACTCTGGGTGATAGTACCCTGTATTATCTCTTCATCTCCTGTGTAGAAGAATTAGATGTGTCTTAGAGATTACCACATGAGTGTTTGGTTGGACATCATCCCCTATTTCTCCTTTAAAGAACTCTTGATTCCTTCAACGTTGTGGGTTTTAAAGGATGGGGAACACTTCTTACTCAAATTCATCAGAAGCTGTCATGTTTAACTTGTAACTTGATGCTGTTCCAGGAAGTGATTTAACACTTGCTCATATTCTTTGTCCCTGTGAGAAACACATAAAGTTGCACCATGCTGATGTTCATCTATGTTCAATTCTATTACTGTCCAACTTTAAAAAGAGGTTTAGAAATATGCATTATAGCAGGAGTAGAGATTGTTTACAAGATTAAAACGCAGATAGGAACACAACAAAGCCATAAAATTGCAGCTGAAATTGAAGTAAAAGAAGAGGGGGCCTAAATTCAAGGTGTTGGTTCTAACCTATAAAGCCCTACATGGCTTGCATCCAAGCTATCTCAAGAACTGCATTCCCCTTTATGAGCCTGCTCAGGTGTTAAGATCACCAGGGGAAGCTTTTCTCTCCATCCCACCACCTTCACAGATGTGTTTGGTGGGTACACAGGAAAGAACTTTCTCTGTGGCTGTTCCCAGACTTTGGAACTCCCTCCCATTGGAGGCCAGACTGGCCCCATCTTTGCTGTCCTTCCACAAGCAGGCGAAGACCCTTTTCAGGCAAGTTGTTCCTGAAAGAGGGGTTTAAATGGGTTGTTGTGTCTTCCTGCTTTGAATGTGTTTTGATGTTGTTTATAGGGGTTTTTTGTACGGTATTTGTTTAATCCTTTTTAGTGTTTGTATATTTACTCTTAACGTAAATATTGTCTTTTAATGATATATGCCACCTCGGGTCCTTTTAAGGAGAAAGGTGGGGTAAAAATATTTTAAATAAATAAAGAATAAATGCAATTTCAAATATAAGTGAACAAAATGGAGTAATACCTTAAAGGTAACAACAAAGGTGGTTGATAAATATGTGTACACAGGAAGTTCCACATTTTAGATATCACCACAGAAATCTCCCATTTTGTAGCAGCTGCCTGGCTGACCTCAAAAGAGTGACAGACACAGAGAAAGAGACTTTCAAAATGATTAATGAGCTGTGATCTCGAATGGTTCTGAAGAAAGATGTGCTTGGCTTGGAATATGCAAAAACCAGTTGAGTTTCATCTGCCAGCTTGGAAGTGGTTCAAAATCTGGAGAAACTGGATGTTCTGGGTGGCTGTTACCATATAATGTGGCGAACCCAGTGTGTGAATGTCTGCACTTGGCCAAGTAATAAAGGCAAAGAGCTGCCTGGAAGGGCTGCTTGTGGTACTTTTTTGTGAGAAAGGTGGCATAAAAATGAGGTGAATTAATAAATAAGTCACTTGCCTAGAGTAATCATAAAGCTGCCCAAACTTCACCAGACTGCATGAAATGGAACTGCATAATTCAAAATGTGGTTCTCACTCGGTGCTTCCATTTTCACAAATTTCTTTCCTTTTCCAGCTGTTGCGTCTCTGCCGGCTGCTGCACCAGCACCTGCTAACAGCACTGATGACCACAGCAAAAACCATAGTTCCGAGCTGCAGGAGGAAGACGTGGCACTGATAGAACAACTGCGGAAAGTATGTAGGAAAGGTTTCTATACTGTGTTGAAGAAGGTGATCATCCCCGTGCTATGAAGGCCCCGGAGTTCATTTAGACCTGTCCTGTGGTCCGTTCCCAATAGCGCCTACCTAGCCAGATGCCTCTGGGAAGCGGCCAAGCTGGACAGGAAGGCGGTGACCCTGCACTGTAAGTGCACGAGCTGCCCACCTGCTGGGCTCTGTGTGTGTCCTGTCAGATGTACAACGCGCAGATGCTCGCTGCCAGGCAAGATTTGACACTCCTCTTTTTGCAGTGAAGAGTTTACGGGCAGGTTGGCATAAATTGCTGTGTATAAGTTGTTGTTTTTATTCAGTAAAGAAAGGGCTTTAGGAAAATTGCCGGTGACTGAGGTGCAAGAAAATTATGGTTTTGATCCTACTATTCCTGACCATCCCCATGGGTAGGTCCTGTGGCTTCTATTCATCTATTCATCTAATCTTCTGTGTCGTTTAAAATGATATGAACCTTTTCAGAACTAGAGATTCAAACGTTCTTTTCCTTGATCTGCAAGAGTTGTAAAGTTGGATCCAGAGTCCTGGAAAGAGAAGGTGAAATATAGACCCAGTAAGCTTTTTGCTGAATTAGCCCTGAGGAGTTCTGTAGATTTTGCTGGCATTCTGGATTAAAGCGTTTTGCATGCTTACAGCATAAGCCATTCATTGGGCCAAGCCTCAGCGTTCTGTGACTGCTGCGTGGGCTGCAGCTTGTGTGACGTATTTTGTCAATGTGAGTTCTCTTGCAGTTTCTTCTCATGACCAAAAATTAATGTGGAAACAGTTTGTCGACATGTTTACTCCTGTAGCTCCACACCTATTTTCCCAGCACATCTGCCTCTCATCCGTGGCACCTCATCATATTTGCATGTTCTGCTTATATTGTTTTTATTTTATTTTGTTTTATTTCATTTTAGCAGATATTTGCAATTTGTGTTTTTAGACACTTGTAATTAGTGGTTCTAATTGTGATTTTTACGTGGATTTTTAGCTACCATTTGCTCTTAAGAAAAAGTGCTGAAAATAGATACGTGAAACACAGACACACACACCCTACATATGCCAGTCAGCATGACTGGACTATAGCCTTGCAATTTATTGGGATTGGGAATCACTGATTTATACCCTCAGACTTGGGTCGCTTTATTACCTACATGCCTGTGGGGTCATGAAGCTTATAGTTTGAATGCCTTGCTTTTGAATGTCTCCAGCAAAAATAAAACCGAAAGCAAAAGCGCCCAGCCTCTTAAGGAGCCACGGTTCCCTCCCACCCCAGGATGTGTCCTCGTTCGATTAAAATTGGGAGCAGGGAATCTCCATATTTTCCAGCATGGGACTATACATTCTCCTGCAGAGCTATATGTATGGCTCGAACTCTCTTTTTGCGAGAAGAGGGCAGTTTTCCTTTTTCAGTGGGAGGGGGGAGGGGAGGACTGCAAGATTAGAGAGAGAGAGACTGGCAGAGGGGAAGGAGGCAGGCAGGTAGGGAGCTGTGACTTATAGAGCAGCATTTTTCACTCGTCACAGATGAGTGGACGAGTGCAGTTTTCAAGCCCTGTGCATATGTGTATACACACACACATACATATATATATATATATAGAGAGAGAGAGAGAGAGCGAGAGAGAGAGAGAGAGCGAGAGAGAGAGAGAGAGCGAGAGAGAGAGAGAGAGCGAGAGAGAGAGAGAGAGCGAGAGAGAGAGAGAGAGCGAGAGAGAGAGAGAGAGCGAGAGAGAGAGAGAGAGCGAGAGAGAGAGAGAGAGCGAGAGAGAGAGAGAGAGCGAGAGAGAGAGAGAGAGCGAGAGAGAGAGAGAGAGCGAGAGAGAGAGAGAGAGCGAGAGAGAGAGAGAGAGCGAGAGAGAGAGAGAGAGCGAGAGAGAGAGAGAGAGCGAGAGAGAGAGAGAGAGCGAGAGAGAGAGAGAGAGCGAGAGAGAGAGAGAGAGCGAGAGAGAGAGAGAGAGCGAGAGAGAGAGAGAGAGCGAGAGAGAGAGAGAGAGCGAGAGAGAGAGAGAGAGCGAGAGAGAGAGAGAGAGCGAGAGAGAGAGAGAGAGCGAGAGAGAGAGAGAGAGCGAGAGAGAGAGAGAGAGCGAGAGAGAGAGAGAGAGATAGAGAGACAGAGAGAGAGATATGGTATATATATAGTTGATAGTAATAGGCTTTGAGGCAAAAATGTGTGAAAGGACCAGACAGTGTGGCATACACATTGCAGAACATATTTGTTGAGACCTGGAGCTTACCAGGCACATATCAGGGTTTAAAAACAAGCAGTCACCCTCTGTGCATTCCAGTGATATCTGTAGGAAGCATTCATTAGAACCTTTGATTTGTGGTCTTTGCCATCATTTCTAGTTGCATTCTTTTCCGTAGTAATGTAATCAAACATCTGCCTTGTCTGTTATTCCTTTTCCTTTTTTAGAACATTGAATCACGGTTGAAGGTGTCTCTCCCCAGTGATCTTGGGGCAGCCCTGACTGATGGCGTAGTCCTCTGCCATTTAGCAAATCATGTTCGCCCTCGTTCGGTTCCTAGTATTCACGTCAGATATGGTATATATATAAGTATCATTTTTGTTGTAAGTATCATTTTGTCAGCATTTGATCGAATTAGCACCTATTTAATCATCTTTATGTTCCTTTGTAAGCCTCCCAGAGTAGTGGTTTGCCACTAGATGGTTGGGATAGAAGTCAAGTAACAACAACAACGTGGCCCGGAGTAGTGGTTTGCCACTAGATGAGTGGGATAGAAGTCAAGTAACAACAACAACATTGATATTTAACAGATTCTTAGGTTTTGGTTAAGACTTGTATCTGTTTTACAATATCAGTCAGTGTTTTTATAATATTGACTATACCTGGTATTTCTCGATTACGATGATGAACGTATCAATAGAGGAACAACTTATGGAAGAATCTGTAGTGGTTTGCCACTAGATGAGTGGGATAGAAGTCAAGTAACAACAACAACATTGATATTTAACAGATTCTTAGGTTTTGGTTAAGACTTGTATCTGTTTTACAATATCAGTCAGTGTTTTTATAATATTGACTATACCTGGTATTTCTCGATTACGATGATGAACGTATCAATAGAGGAACAACTTATGGAAGAATCTGGAAATTATGAGTTGACAAGAACAGCAGACATCACTGAGAGAAAAAAATAGTAGCCCATATTAGCCAGAACGCAGAAGGACAAAGGCTCACCAATTTGCACCAATTACAAAGTTAACCAGTAAAAAACCTACTGAATGAAGCAAATGTTGTCATCAGAACAATCTCAACCAACCAAAGGAAACAAACCAGCTCGTGTACAGCACAGCTACCATAATAACAATGGAACTCGGTTACAAGCTGCAAAAACCTCAGAAAACTCGTGGCACCCCAAAATGGAAAATTCAGCTGGAAAGAAAAGTAAACAAATTACATGCAGACATTAGCCACTTAAAACACTTGAAAGAGTTAAACAGACATTAGCCACTTAAAACACTTGAAAGATTTAAAAAAAACTTTAAAATGAAAAAGTTAAAGCCAGACTATGAAAAATATATGACCCAGAAAGGAAAACAATTGTTGAAACTGTGGAAGAATTAAAACAGCGGGTAACAGCTACAGCGAAAAAAATTGAAAGATATGATGGACAAGTGAAACAATATAGAGAAAATAGGCAATTTCAAAATAACCAACAATTATTCTATAAATCACTAGGAGGAAAAGTAAGAAGAAAAGAGATTAGGCCCATGCAAAGATGATGCTCTAAAATTTTGGAAAGAAATGTGGGAAAGCCCAACCAGATGTAACAAAAATGCCTCATGGATTAAAGACATTTGTAAAGAAATTCAAAGAAAACAAATGGATGATATTGTAATAACAAGGAGTCTCGTGGTGCAGTGGTTAAACTGCTGTACTGCAGCCAAAACTGCTCCCAAGCGGCTCAAGGTTGACTCGGCCTTCTATCCTTCCGAGGTCGGTAAAATGAGTACCCAGCTTGCTGGGGGGGGGGGCAATGTGTAGCCTGCATAACTAATTTGTAAACCGCCCAGAGAGTGCTTGAAGCACTATGGGGCGGTATATAAGCAGCAGCACACTTTAATAACAACTGAAATGATTAAGAGGCAAGTAAAGACTGAAAAATTGAAGTGCATCGGGTCCAGTTGAGCTGCACTGTTAAAGCATCTAACAAGTCCCAATTAACATATAGCAGTGCAATTTAACTCTTACTTTAGAATTCT